CCTCACCCCCTCACCCCCTCTTTTGGGCTACTGATTCTTTCTACGGCCTGTTCACTGCTTTTCCTTGGCTCCCTCTTACTGCTGTCTTTCAGCCACACCCCTGATCTTCTGGTAGGAAAGATCTACGCCTAGCTTTCTGGGTCAAGGGCGAAAAATCTCGGAGGCCCTATGTGCGAATCGCGCACGTTAAAGATCTCTTGGTAGAATGAAATCGATGAGAGTAGGCTTTGCCCGCCGCCCAGGCAAAATTCAAGCTTTCTTACCAACTATTAGGTGGATTCCATCTTATGCAGTTGCGAGCGCCTTAAAACACTTACCAAAAAGAAAAACAAGATTTATAATCTGTCGGTAAACCCCGATACCACATCATAACTTCAGTGAAGTCGGTAATGACTACCCGCAGTTAGGTGCACTAGACAACCTTCAGGTTTCAGCGAAAAAAACCCTCGAGACATCACTGGGAAAACCCAGGGGAAATATTTTTTTAAAAGTTACTAGATCTAGTTCTAGTAATGACTGATATCACAGGATCATATTAGAAAAAACGAACCAAGGAAAAAATTGAGTTAGACGAAAAAACCCATTACATAACTTTGATAATAACGCGCAATGCACGCTGACCTCCGTTACTTCTGGAAAGAAGGAAATCTTTGAAGTTTAGTCAGACCTCCAGGGATCAAGGAAAAAACCCATCCCAAACACAAAAGTAATCGTAACATTAAATCAAAATTATTATCTTCATGACCTTTACTGACATTGTGAATGTGTGGCTTTTTTTTAGCAGAGTTATATTGTTACCTCAGAATTACAAAGTTCTGTCTGACATATTTGGCCGTTTTGTGTCACTAATACCATGAGTATGAGGTCAGAAACCAATAATTCTGCTCTATCATAATCATAAGATTTTTCGGAGTCCTTAACAAGATATCAAAAGAGTCGCATTCGAAAAAACTTGAAATGTTGTGAAACTCAAAATATTATTTAAGGTCAAATTTCTCAAAACTAGGTCTTGAGCAGAGAGAACTTTGTAGTTCTGATATAGCGATATGCAGAGGAAGAAAAAATGTATTAAGATTTCATTTTAGATGGTGAAACAACTTATCACTGGGGGAACGAAGCGACAATTGCATCAGATTTTAGTAACACTAATGTTGCCTTATAACTGAATAAAAAAAAGAAGAGAGCTAATTATTATTATTATTATTATTATTATTATTATTATTATTATTATTATTATTATTATTATTATTATTATTATTATTATTATTATTATCATTATTATTATATTTGTTTTAATTATTATTATTATAATAATAATAATAATTATTATTATATTATTTTCATAATTATTATTATTGTTATTGTTATTGTTATTGTTATTGTTATTATAACTATTTTATCATCTTTTTTAAAATTACTATTATTATTATTATTATTTTTATTACTACTACTATTATTATTATCATTATTATTATTATTATTATTATTATTATTATTATTATTATTATTATTATTATTATTATTATTATTATTATTATTATTATTACTATTACTATTATCATTACTATTAATCATGGAACTGCACTACGTACTGAGTGAACCATTATGATGGCCTGTCGTTTTGATCTCGTGTTTTTGTGTCCGTGTTCTGTTGTGATTACAGGTTTTAAAATACTACAACAAAATAATAATATTATTTTAACATTGTCAATGTACCAGCTGACCATAAAAAAATGTTCGTCCATAGAAATGTTAATAAATGTCTTGTTTATGACTCAAATGGCATCAAAACAGACCAAAAACTAGAACCTACTTCCGGATTACGTTCTCTATATTATATGACACGACGCGATGGAATCAGGCGCTCATCAACTTTTGTGCATGAATGTGGAGTTTTTGGTATCATCTGAAAGCTGATTTATTTGCATTGTTTTCAATGAATGAAAGAAATATCAATTTCTCTTGAATAGAACTGAAGATATTGCGATTGAAGGAAGTAAGGTTGCTTGGTTTCAGTGGTGAAATTAGCTAGAAATTACTGGCCACCAAAGTCTGTTAACTCCAATAGGTAAAGAGTCCATGAAAAAAGAAAGATGACATAATATTCTGTGCCTTTAATCAATGTTTTTCAGTACAATTCCCGTAGAAATGTGGTTTTTCAATACAATTCACGTAGAAATGTGCTTTTATATGGACATACGAGAGGTTGAGTCGAAAAATAAAAATGTGCAGCCTGTGAAACGACACATTATTAGAAAGGTTAATTAGTTTAGTTTTAATAAGGTTTTACGATGCTCGTAATTGCATAAGGTCATATTATGAGCGCCATGGGGTGGATGCCAACAGAGAATTCCAAATGGGTAATCTGGCTTACTCTGCTAACCCGTCTGGCCTCAACAGCAAAAAGTCTGCTTCGACTATCAAGGAAACCCAGAAATAGCAGTTCATAAGAGAGTGACAAACATACAGAAGAAATAAAGGGAAAATGACGATAGTAAGAATGAGGAAAGAAAGAGCAGCAGTCCCCCTATGCTGTTCCGGAACAGTATGAGCATGGCATTGATAAATCAGCACATTTAAAATTCTACTGTGCATAAGAACATGTTAATATCCCCCCCCCCCTTTTTGGAATGGCCTAAAGGCAACTCCAGTCAGTAGCACTGCCCTTTTTGTGGAGGGGTGGGGGTGGGGGGATTTTGAAAGGTTAGGGTGATCCTTTATTCAGTAATCTAAACGCCAAAGAAACCAATACGACTT